CACTTTGCTTAGCCACTGTTGCCTTTGGAAAATCACATAAGTTCTGTGAGTCTCAGTGGCAAGGATAAAATGATACTACATATGTGAAGCACTGGTGTAAAGCCTGGCGCATACTGTCTGCACCATTACCTAAAACAGGCCAGTCATTTCGGTGTTCCCAAACTCAGCGCTCATTCTGAACTCTCCTCACGAGGTGCCCCTCCTTTTACATGATGCCCTTTCTTCGGGATGCTGCCTCAGTGCCTCTCCTTAGTACTGGAAACTTTCTAAGCTAGTGTTGTTTCCATCCTTCACTCTACTTGGCTTCCTTCTCATGTAGTCCTGTGTGCTACGTGATAAGCTGTGCTTATGCCAACAGCCCCCTTCCTCTAGTCCTCAGTGAAGGTGGAGGGGATTGCATGTGTCTACAGTAAATAGTTAATTCATTTTAATGATTAAATATGCTCTTAGTTGGCTCATCCTTGGGAACTGCAGATAAATTTCTTTGATCCTTGAATATTGGGTTCTGGATTTAATGCACCTTGGCTTACAGTAGGTTAACGGCATGACTCAAATTTGGGTGTTTTCAGTACTCTCCGTTAGTCCTGAGGAGAGGATTACCTCATTTGAGAGCAAGGCTTAAGTTCAGAAATTCAGTTTTTATTGTCTAATTCCATTTCTCTCCCCCACCCCACCCCTTAGCTTCCATCCTCCTCATCTTTGGAAGTTGCCACAGAAGCAACGCAGAACAACCCAGGAGAGGAAATGACAGAAACTGTAGGTGAAGAGTCAGAGTCTGTCGCTGAGAAGGAGAGAGAAGAGCAGGGCCACTGTGACGCTGATTCAGAAATGCAGCAGATTGTGGCACGGGTTCGACAGAACTTCGGCAAAATCAATGTCGTGCCTCAGTTTTCTGGGGATGACCTGGTTCCTTTGGAGATGTCAGATATTGAGGAAGAGCTGGAGAGCTGTTCTGCAGAGGAGGAGGAGGGGGAGGAGCCTGAGCACCACGGAGACGAGGGGGAGGAGTCTTACCCCGAATCCCAGGAAGAACACGAGGGACACGACACCAAGGCGGTTATTAAAGCCCTGGATGAAAAGATCGCTAAATATCAGAAGTTTTTAAACAAAGCCAAAGCTAAAAAGTTTTCAGCAGTCAGGTAGTCCTCTCATCTTCTCACAAATTGCAGTTTGCTCCTTCCTTTCCCAGAAACTTGCCACGAGTATTGGAGCAGTGTTTTTACATGGGGGGTTATTGCCATTTTTAAAAAATGATCTGTAAATTTTTAACATTCAGCTCTCTGAAGTGTGAGAAGCTTAGTGGTTCAGTCTTTTACAAATGCCCAGGGTGCTGCAAAGACTGTCGGGTGTTGCCTCCTACCAGTGGCGATAACTGTGAAGAGGATGGGGTTTCTTTAACCTGTGAGGTGTCTCCGTCTCCACGGCAGCATGTGATGTGGGCAGTGGAGGGGAATGTTGGACAGCTTTGTTACTTGGCTTTTCTGTTTCAGAATATCCAAGGGACTAACTGAAAAGGTTTTTGCAAAATCTGAAGAACAAAGGAGAACACCTGAAGATGTAGAAGATAGAGGTAAAGTTAAATGATTTAAATCATTTAGATGTGATTTGTATCTTTAGAACTTTAGGAAATCTAAGTGTAATCTCCAAATTATCTCTTGTACTATCATCCACACAGATATTTATCATACTCGGCCAGTTACCCTGGTTCCACATACTATTTATCATACAAATTGGATTATCCACTTCATTCTGCTGTTTTCTTGGGATTAAATGGGTAATGCAGGAAACTTCCTCTAGAAAGAGTACGTCGTCAACCTTATAATCCAAGAGTGGATCCAAAGACAGATTTTTATGGGGGGGGGTCGGTGAGGTGGTTCATGTATTTATTTTTTACTCTGTTGGACTGACAGCTTCTATATCAAGAGTGTGTTGGGGCTGGCCCCGTGGCATAGTGGTTAAGTGCGAGCTCCACTTCGGCAGCCCGGGGTTCATGGGTTCGGATCCCGGGCATGCACCGACGCAGCGCTTGTCAAGCCATGCTGTGGCGGCGTCCCATGTAAAGTGGAGGAAGACGGGCACGGCTGTTAGCCCAGGGCCAATCTTCCTCAGCAAAAAGAGGAGGATTGGCATCGGGTGTTAGCTCAGGGCTAATCTTCCTTCATCAAAAAAAAGCCTGTCCGAAATGCACACCCTGCCGTGGGCCGCAAAGCCCTTCCTTGTCTGGTGCCCTCCCACCCTCCTCCTGCTTTACTCTGCACTTCGCTTACTGCACTCCATCCACACTGGCCTTCTTCCTTCTTCCTCCAGCTCGTAAGGCTCATTCCCACCTTAGGATTCACAGATACATTTTAAATAGAAAATTTCTGTTTCTTTTCTGTGTATGTGTTCATGTATTGTTTCCAGCACCTACCAAAAAGGGAAAGAAGAGGAAGGCCCAGAGGGAAGAGGAGCATTCAAATAAAAGTCGCAGGATGCTCACATCTAAGGAAGTACGTGTTTTTGGTCTTAAATATCACCCAGGTGTAGAACATAAAGAGGAGAAATCTAGTTCTTAAGACCCGCTCTTTCGGAAACTAATGGTCTAGAGTTGAATCCGACGAACACCAGTCCTAAGTGATCTAGTTGAGGTCAGTTAAGTAGGATCAAGAGTTGGCCCACTGAATGAAGTTTTATGTTTTAGGAAATCCTGATTGCTGTCCTCAAACATGTGTACTATCGTCCAGAAGAGTCCGTTGGTTTTATGTTGCCCCAGGGAAGTGACACATGATGAGCAGAGCTGTTTAGACAGACAGGTTGCTGCCCTCTGTGAAGTTCAGCTTTGTAACTGGATTCTTCAGAGCTGGAGTGGGCCCTCTTGCGAGGTGCAGAGTTGATCGAAAGTGTTCAGCCTTGGAACAGAGGAGCACTTGTCAGGAATGCTGTAGAAAGGATTCAAGCACTGGATAAGGGTTGGACTAAAGGACAGTCTGTGACTGGGAGTTGTCACAGCGGAAGAGCAGACTTGTGTCTGTTGTTAGTGCCGTTTCCAGTAGTTGTGGAAGCAGCCTGGGAAACGCAGCACAGAGAAACGGGGGCCTGTTTTATGACTCTCCATGTTTGATTGATTTTTTTGCCTTTTTTTTTTTTCCCTCGTTTTTTACAGCGGAGGCGAGCAGCACGGCAGCAACAGTCCAGAAAAGTTGGTGTACGCTACTATGAGACACACAACGTGAAAAATAGGAACAGAAACAAAAAGAAGACCAATGACTCAGAGGGGCAGAAACACAAACACAAAAAATTCAAACATAAGCAGTAACATCTAAAAAATTGTTTATTAAATTATACAAAAATATGCAATTAGAAATTGTGTTCATTTTCTTCATGCCCAGTTGGCATTTCTAAGGCCATAATGCATTTGTTCTGAGGTTTGACAGTTGAAACCCTTCCCCAGTGCTAGTGAAAATAAAGCCCCCTCACCTCCAGGGAGTTCAGTGATGGAGTCCATTGGTATGTCAAACACTTGAATTAGTGTTCCTCCAGTGTGACTGTCATGTCAATATTGGACAGAGACAAGGACGAAGTCTATAAAATGGAAAATCTGGTGTTTCTTTTGTACGTGCAGTTAGCAATTTGGAACAGAACTGTAAAAAGAAGAAAATTTCAAGGATGTAGTGTACATGGTCCAGGCTTTAAAATAAGAAGAAAAAGCTCCAGCAACTTCTGCCCTTCATTGAGTATGTTAAATGGACCCATTTAGGACATAAGGTCTTTACTGTCAAGGAGTCATGGAACTAGCACATCTCAGTGAACAGAGTTCTTTTCCATGAAATGACAGAGCACAGACAGGTCATTTTAGTGGAGTCTTAGAATTTTTCAGGACACCTGGATTAGGGTAAAAGCGTTGACTTCAGGTTTGAGATGCAAGTGTCCAGGGCATGTTCGACTTGGTGGAGCATAGCTCTTGTCAGATTGCAGTTCTTCAGTGAGCCTTGAAGCCCTAACCAGGATGATGTCAGGTCAGAGCTCCACTCAGGAGGGAACCCCTCTTCGTACCTCGGGGGAATAGAGCGCTTGAGGCATTCCAGCCTGGTGGAGATGTTAGAGCTTTCTTAGTATGTTATTGTGAGATTTGACTGGATGGAAGGCACCCGGCTTGCTTCCCTAGCCCACCCTGGTCTGCCCTGGATTAAAGATTGATATCGCTAATTGAGTACTGTGGGTCCAAAAACCAGAAGAGTCCTGAGCCTCCAAACTTTTGAGTTTAACTTATGAGGAGTAGTAAAATGCAGTTGTCTACAGGCGATATCCCGATCTTTAATAATTAGAACTACGTGTGAGGTTTGGGCTCCTCTCCAGCTGTCAATTAAACATAGCTAGTCGAGGGGTCTAGGGTCAGGGTTTGATTTTCTGCAGAATAAGGTGAACAAATCTGTGGTGGATGAGGAGCTGAGGTGCAGGCAGCTCACAATGGACGTTGGGACTTGTGTTTCCAGCAAACATTTACTTTCTCAAAAGCCATGGGTTTACTCTTTGCCATTGCTTCCTCACCTAGGCAGTGTGAAACTGAGGAGGAGGGGGCCCAGTTGACTTGGCAGGGACAAGATGATATAGTATAAAACCAAAGCTCCAAAATGAGTTACTAGAACTGCATTGGAGTAGGGATGATGAAAGACATCCAATAAGGGAAAGATGGGCCAGAGAAGCCCAAGTTAAGGTACAAGATGAGTTATGGACCAAAAATGCAGGGGACAGAGAAGCAGCTTCATTTGGCCAAAAGTCAGTGATGTGTGGAGTGATGCTGAGAGAGCAGCTGCTCCACTGGAGGGATGCAGCAGAGAAAGGGGTGAATCCTAAGTCTTCCTATTCGAGTTGGCACATCCCAAGGTTGGCTGGGAAGCCACATACTGAGACGATCTGGGTGACACCACCTTCCTCTGCCCAACTAGGAGCCTGGCTGCCAGACCTTAGATGTTTCATGACACTGGGGCAATGGTGTGACTTCTGACAAATGTAGGTGGTGATCAGGGGAGGGGATGGCTTGTTCACTCAGGAAACTAGCTTTTTATTACAGAGGGCTTATGATGGGGTAGTAGTGCTTGCTGAGACCCATATGGAAATTATCACTTCTTTGGTGCAATAATGCCTTCCAGTTGGGCCTGAAAAACAAAACAAACTCCGTTAATATTTGAAACTTGCAGCCTAACGCAAATAGTTGAGAGGTGATAAAAGTCTCTGGGAAGGATAATCTAAATGCTGCCACTCCAAGTGTTTTTCTCCTCCATTCCCAACTTCATATTTTCTGGATTAGCTGGTTTCTGGCTTGGCATACATTATGAGAAACCAAAGCTGTCCTGGTTTCCATACAATAATGGCTCAGTGTATAATATAAAGCATTCAAAAGGAAACTGAATAAAAGTTGTTGAAATAGTGGTTTTTCATGGCTCAGATTTCAGGCCTGAATACATCTGCTCAGTTAAACATTTGGCTCTCTGGTTTGGGATCCTGGGAGCTCGGTGCTGGGACAAGAGGTTTGGGAAACAGCAAATTTGCAGCCACTGAGACAACTTGACACCCAATTAGAGAAAATTGCTACCAGTGAGTAGGGAGCTGTCCATCTTGTATGTAAAGCTTAAGACACTTGGGAGTTATTTACTCTGCTGCTCTGGCAGCCAGTGAAATAATTGACTATCCTGGTGTGTGGACAGATCTTTCAGGAGGTCTGTCCTGGGGATTGCAAACACTGCTTTATTTGCAGTGCAGCTTTGAGCCAATAAAAATAACTCACTTCTAAAGAGTCCTTCACCCTGGGAATTACAAGGTTGCTTGTAAATGTTAGAAAGGTGCCAAGTTATTCTGCTTTGCTCTTGCTGCCAATACTATAGGAGGAACTGAGGGACTTGGGCTTATGATAAAGGAATATGGCAGATAAGGGAGGCAGCTTCAGAGGCTGCTAAGTAAACAGATTCACATCTGGCTGTGAAAGTTTCTTGTTTTTCTTTGTTTTTGTTAAACTTCTCAGCAACAAGAAAATCTATGTCATCCTCCACTAGCAGTTAATACAAGCCCTTCTTTATCTCAAATGCCCAGCTTTCTTGGCCTGTAGAGCCAACAAGCCTGCCAATCGCAAGAAGGAAAGCTTTCTGTGAGACTAGGGAGGAGAGGGAGATAAGATACATCCGGGGGCCCCTTCTGGCCAGGGCCATGGGAGACAGACACTGAACGTCAATAGGCCACATATCTAGAGCACTGGTTCTCAAACTTGAGCAAGCATCAGAATCACCAGGGAACTTATTAGATTCTTGGACCCCAACCCCAAAATTTCTGGTTCAGTAGATTGGAGTGGGCCCAATAATTTGTATTTATGAAAGTTGCCATGAGATGAGGATGGTGCCCAACCTTTGAGAACCTGTGGACCAGACACAGAGCCCGGAGTTTCCGAGGCCTGGCCCCCTGCCCAGCCCTTCTCACCCGTCCCCTCTCTCCAGTTGGATAGCCAGTTGGATAAATACCACTAGCAAAAGAGAAAAACACCTACAGCTGAGTTCCTCTCACCGCAAACCTGGGGCAGGTTCTGTATCTAAAATGGTTCTTCCCTCTCAAAAGGCCTTCCCTGCTGGCCCCAAAGACTGTACCTCAGAGGGCCTGCAGGGGGCAAGCACTCCCAGGACACTCTACGAAGCCTCTAAATTATCAGCCGTGATGGGAAAGAAGTTCCGCTTTTTGCCATATCCACCTCTCCCAGAGGATGGGTAACTTTTTTCCAAGGGAAAAAAAAATTCCACTGGAGAGGTAGGCCGAGGTGTCATGGGGATTCAGAGCTGAGAACAGAGCCCCTCTCCAGAGCCAGATGGATGGAAAATTTGGGTAATGAACCCCCATCTCCACTCCCCCCCAAAAAAGTCAGCTTCCTTTACTCCTTGGCAGCGCATGTGGACAAGTATTTAGAGGTCCTCTGTAGGAAAAGGAACCGAGTGTTTGGCCTGCATGGCTTAGGGGGGTGGGGAGACAGGGGTGTGGGAGCCCCTCGCCCGGGCCTGCACATTGACTACCTTCAGCTGCTGATTCGTCCGCTTTAGGAACTGAATCTCCTCGTTGTGCTTCTTCTCCTCCACCTGTCTCCTCTCACTCTCCCGCTTCTCGACGGCCTCACATTTTGCCTTCTGCTCATTCACTTGCCTCTCCAAATCTCTCTTCTCCGTTTCCAATTCTGCAATCTGAGGACAGAACCCCCAGTCATCCTGAGACGTCACCAAGTGGACAGGGTGATGTGAGTGCCTGGGTGGAGGGGACTTGGGACACAGCTGTCCAACCCAAGACATTGCCAGGGTCTATACTGCCACCCAGTGGGAGGTCAGTGACTGGCACGGCACGTCCAAGAGTAGACAACTCTGCCATCACCAGGCTGGCCATTACACTCTGAACCCCAGGGTCCTCTGAGGTGGCGGGAGAGCACCCTAGGAGGCCAGAATGAGTGCTGGAATGACAACCATATGGCCCTGAGATTGAAAGAAGAGTCACAGAGGGCCAAAGGCTCGTGGTAAACCCCACTCACTTTCCTCTCCATGTCTGATTTCCCCTGTTCGGCCTGCAGCGCCTTCCTCATGCCAAATGCCACGCTGCTCTCATACAGGGTCTGGTAGGCAGCGATGGTCATGCGGATCTCATCCCGGACTCGCAGCAGCAGCAGCCCCCTCTCCGCACAGTTGATGGTGACCTCCCGGATCAGCTCATCTTCCAGTGCACACACACAGCGAGGTCAGAGAAGACAGGCGGGAGCAGAAATGCACCACGTCTGCTGCAAACCACCCTTACCACTGGGAAGGGCTCTAGGGTGTGTCCTCCTCACTTGGAGTCAGGCCTCAGGGAGTGGCCTTGAGTGGCCCCAGGAGCCCTGCCATGCAGCCACCACTCTGATCTTGGCTCTTGGGAGCACAGGCAGTCAACAAGCCCCTTGTGGCCAGGGCAGAGGGAGACAGGAGCCCCAGGTTTGTTTGCAGCCATGGGGCTCCTCTCTTCCATCCTCAGCCAGAAACTGGGTACTATTCAAAGAAAGCTGCCTTTTTCAATTTGAAGATGGTGGCTGTTTTAAAGTGGCTGGGAAATCCCCTTGGCTGGACTGGGTTGGGGCTGGAAACAGCGGGGTCTAGAGCTCGCCCACCCGTCTCCTCCATCAAGGCTGACCTGGAGGGCCAACCATAATCATACGCTGACTAAAGGGAGCTGCTAGACTCTGCAGCTGCCTCAGGGTTTGGAGGTGGTTTGCATGTCAGAGTCCACACCGGCCAGTGAAAGTGGGCGAGAGACAGAGACATTCGACACCAGCACTTGTGGAGGGAAATCTTAAATCCTTTGTATCCGTCGGTTAACAACACATTACCCTGAAATATTTTTCTGGACCAAGGGCCAAATGTTGATAGATGGATATAAGTATAGAACATTAATTTTTCTAATCAAAAAATTAACACATGCTTATTATAGAAGTCTTGGGAAAAAACGAAGATTTAAAATGGAAGTTCTCATCTTACTCCAAACAACTGCTGCGGGATGAAGAACCAGGTTGTCAAGTGGGGGACTGGTAGGTGGGGGACAGGTAGGAGAGGTGGGGCTGGACGGGGAGGGGGCGCATGTAGTGGTCCCTGGGTGGGAGGGACCAGATGATTCCAGGATGGGATAGGCTGTAGCTCGGGGATACTCAGGGCTTGGGTCTGTGCTGAAGAGGAAGGGAAGGAGGCAGGTGTCCTGTACCCCGCCCCCAGCCACTCACCGAAACACTGCGAGTAGAGCTCCCGGCGGACAGGGCAGATGCCGGTCTCCCTGGCCTGCCGCTGCTGCAGCTTCAGGTCCAGCTGTTCCTGCAGGTGCACCACATCCATCCTGGTGCTGGGGGTGCTGGACACCTGCTGGATCCATAGCTGCGTGTCTTCTACCCACTCCCTGCGGCACAGACACAGCCAGCCTGAGCAAAACCCATTGACCAGAGAGGGTCCTCGAGACATGAGCAGAGAAGGCCCTTTGAGCTCTCTGCCTGAGAGGTGTGAGGGACAGCTCTGTCCTCGACCCACCAGAATCTTCCATCCTTCTCTCTTCCTTGGGGAGTGTGTGGTTTCAAGGCCACACTCATTATGCTGCCTCCACAAAGCCTCTACCTTGGAGCTGGGCCATCTCCACTCTCCCACAGCCCTCCATGAAATCATCACCCACGTTCCAAATCTTACCCTCCTTACATGTTGAGGACAGACTTATGGTTGTTGTTGATCTCAACAGAAGGCCCAGTGGGAATTCTCCACTGACTTGTCGGGTGGGAGACACAGGGCACCACAAATCTTGTGCCAGCCAGAAAGAGGCAAATGTGTGTACTGGGGAGAGGGGAGGTTCTTGAAGGTGTGTGCCTATGTGGGCCTCCCCATGATGAACCTTGTATCAGAGGCATGGCCAGGTTCCAGAATTACAAGGAAGGAGCCTGAGGATAGAACCGCCATGGGGGAGAGAATTTCCAGGCATTGGTAGGAGGGCGTCAATTGAAAAATCACCCACTCCCCTCTTTGACCCCCTTCTCGGAGGAAATCGCAGTCTCTCTTTTACTGTTTCTCCTTTCCATCATAGCCTTAAAAACTGTGCTATCAACTTATTACATAAAAATAGTCAAAAAGGCATGCCACATAGTGACAAATGTGGCTGTAGAAGAGAGAAGCCAGGTAAGGGGATGGTGAAGAAAGAAGGCGCTCTTTTACAAGGATGCTCAAGGAAGGCCTCCTTGAGGAAACGACATTTGAGCAAGACCTGAGTGAAGAAGAGAACCAGGCAGATATCAGGGGAAGAGTGTCATTGGCAGTGAGAACAGCAAGTGCCAAGGTCCTGCGGTGGAAGAGCGATGGAAGTGTTTCAGAAACAGCAAGCAGAGGCCTCTGCGGCATTAGCACAGTGAACAAGGAGGAGAATACCAGGAGATGAGATCCTGGGTCTATCAGGAGCCAGATCACGCCAGCTCTTCCAGGCCACTGTAAGGACTTTGGATTTTAGCCTGAGTGAAATGGGAAGCCATTAAAGAGTTTCTAGCAGAAGACTGGCATGATCTGACTTATGATTTCAGGGCAGTGTGCAGATTAAATTACAGGGGCAAAGAGTGGAAGCAGGGTTTTCAGATAGGAGGCCATTGCAGTACTGCAGGTGACAAATAGTGACAGGAACAAGATGGTGGAAGCAGAGGTGGTGAAAAGTGGCTGGATTTGGAATATAATTTTAAGGTGGAGCCAAAAGAATTTGATGAAGGATAGGACATGTGACATGAGGGACCAAAAGGAATGAAAGGTGGCCTGAGCCCCTAGTAGAAAGGAGAAGCCTGGGGACGAGCAGGTTGGAGGAGGAAGAAATTGTGATTTAGTGTGGACATGCTGAGTTGAGATATCTATTAGACATCCTCATGAAGATAATGAGGAAGCAGTAGGACATATGGGGCTGGAGTTTAGGGGAGAGGACAGAGCTGGAAATGCACATTTGGGAGCCATCAGCGTATAGATGGGATCTAAAGCCATGAGCCTGGGCGCGAGCCCTCAGGAGACGAGGATGGATAGAGAAGAGGTCTCCTCCCACCCTCTCAGCATCCAGCCATCTGCAAGCTCTAGGAGCTCTGGGATGCTGGGAGGAAATCCCAGCCAGGAACAGAGACAGACTGCCTCTTCCCACATTCCCAAGTTCTAGGATGCAAAAGCCTGGGCCTTCTCCCAGACACTGCTCCTACTTTTTTACCTTGGGGGCAGGATGGCATTCAAGATTTCTTCAGCCTGCTTTGTAGGATCTGGGACACAGGAAGTTGAGGGGACCTTGGTTTTTGGTGGCTGCGGGACTGGACCTGAGGGTCCAGGCTGCTGGGGGCTGACTTTCAGTGGCCGAGCCTGAGAAGAAGGGACAAGTTAGGGCAGGAGGTGACAGACACTCAGCTCCACACATCCTGGCCTTCTGGATTGCTCCAGGTCTCCTGCACATCGTCCCCTATTCCCAGCTCACTTTCCCCACCTGTCTTCTCAGCAGAAGTTACATCTCAGAGCTGAAGGAGGCCATAGCCTCTGGTCCTACCCCAACCCAATGCTTGTATCTCCTTGAAGTGATGTTTCTGGCACGGGTGCTCAAGCCTCTGCTTTCACACCTCTAGTGATGGGACAATCACTACCAGATCTATTTTGGACCCAGCTACCATGAAAAAGAGTAAGCCCCATTCATCTCCCTGTGACTTCCTTCCCCATTCTAAATCTGCCCTCTGGGGTTACCCAACATCTGGCCTTCTTGTAACGCTCTCCCACACTCCTTCCCCCGTTCCAAGTCCCTTTGCTCCCAGCCTCTGTCCCTCGGGACTCCCTATCCTCAACGCGGGGTCTCTCTTCTCATTGGAGCTTCGGGCTCCTCCGCCCCCTGAGACCCGTCCTTACTTTGGGACTCCGTTTCTCCGTGTTCCGGCTCACCAACACCGGGGTGTCATACTTGAGCAGAGAGTCCGCGGGGGGAATCATGGCGGCGGCGAAGGTAGTAGGCCAGCGGCGGCCCCTCGAATCATGGCCCTGTTTGCCATCACCATGGAAACCTCTCCTAGCCTCATGGCCTGGGCGGGGCTTCGGGGTGGGGCGGGGCCAGCGGCGCGCGAGTGTCTGCCCAGCTTTTCCTGTGCTTCGCTTGTCAGGCCTCCTGCTCGCCGGGTCATATCGGTACTCTTGGAAGCAGAGAAAACGGATTCGAGTCCCTGCGCTGCGTCTAGCTCACAATTCGAATAAGGTGGCAGATCACCTTCGCTGACCCCCGATTTTGTCACCTGCAAAATGGGAGTCATCTGACTCCTCAGTGAAGGATTGAGAAAGATTCCCAGAGGAGGGCCTCCGGAGTTCCCCGGTTTTAAAAAGTATTTCTGGGGGCCGGCCCCTTGGCTGGCGGGCTACACTTCAGTGGCTCGGATCCCAGAGCCCGGAACCCGCAGCGCGACCTACACCACTCCTTAGCCATGTTGTGGCAGCGCCCCACATACAAAATAGAGGAAGATTGGCACAGATGTTAGCTCAGAGCAAATCTTTCTCACACCAAAAAATAAATAAATAAAATAAAAAGTATTTTTTAATTAAATGGAGAAATGACAACATAAAAGAAAGTTCAAGAATAGAGGGGAAATACTAATGATTTGCCCACAGGCTATCACCTATGATTGCATTTCCTTCTCTTCTCCTTTCTTTTTCTTTTCAAACGTAAACATAGCCACAATTTTGTATCCTGCTTCTTTCGTTTAACAAACCAGGGTTTTTTCCATTTGTCATACAGTTTGTAAATAGCACTGCGAATGGCGACATACATCCACCAATCGGCTAAACAATTTCCCACCGCTGGGCATTTCGGTTGTCTCCGTGTTTAGTAATTACTAATAACGCGACAACATAACAGCCTTGAGAGTAGCTTTTTCGCAGAAGTTTGCTTTTGACATTTTTTTTTTTTTAAAGACCAGTGTAGTTTATTTATTTTTTTTCCCCCAAAGCCCCAGTAGATAGTTGTATGTCATAGCTGCACAGCCTTCCAGCTGCTGTATGTGGGACACGGCCTCAGCATGGCCGGAGAAGCGCTGCGTCGGTGCGCACCCGGGATCCGAACCCCGGGGCCCCCAGCAGCGGAGCGCGCGCACTTAACCGCTAAGGCACGGGGCCGGCCCGGGAAGTTTGCTTTTGAAACTCAAAACTCCCGCCACCTGAGCCGGGTCCCTACGGCCCCGCCCACTACGGAGTCGTGGTCACGTGTCTAGCCCCTCCGCCGCGAGGGTTTCTGGGAGAGCGCGCACCCCGGAAGCGGAAGTGCGAGGGGGGTGTCAAGCCCGTCATTTCCTTCAGCGAGAGGAGCGCAACGGACGTATTTTCGCTTCGCTCAGCGGGTCTCTCAGCATGAAGGAGGTGAAGAGCGAGCGGGAGCGGGGGAGCCGGCGACGGCACCGGGACGGGGATATGGTGGCGGCGGCGGCGGCGGCCGTGGTGGTGAAGCAAGAGCGACTCAGCCCGGAAGCAGCGCCCCCCGCCCACCGCCGTCCGGACTCCGCCGGCGGGAGCCCGTCCCCGCCGGCCGGCGAGCCAGGCCGCCCGGGTCACCGCGGGAACCGAGCCCGAGGAGGTAGCCGGTAAGTGGGAAGCAGCCCGGGGTGGACCTTACGTCGGGCTCTGAGAAGGGAGGACAGGGCTAGCGTCAGAAGCACACCTTGAAGCGAGGGCAGCAGCTTGGACTTCATCCTAAGGCGGTGGAAGTGACCCGCTAGTGCTTGGGTTAAATGTTTGCTCCGGTACCTGTCACTTGCGTTATAGCTGGGCGTTAAGCGGCTAATCTAACGAGCAGGGTCCGCCCCTTCATCTCTGAGTGCGCAGCATGTCGCCGAGTATGGCCCAGCAGGTAGCACTGACCATTTAAGTTGAAATGAAAGATTTTCCCCATGTGACTGCAAATGGAGTGCGGGCGTTGTCTTTTCAGTCATCTGCCCGGAAAGGTTTACACATCGAGGGCCTAGGCGATCTCCCTGATAGAAATTCTGGAAAAAGAAAATTGTTTTCTACTGGATTGGCTCATTTATTCATTCATTCAACATAGTTTTACCGAGTACCTGTTATGTGCTCAAGACTGGGGCTGTAAGGGTGAACAAGGTAGGTGGCCGTTACCCTCGCGAAATTGATGTGCTCTAGCCCTGAGACAAAATAACAAGCAAATAAAATAGTTTCAGTTAATGACACGTGTTAGGGATAGGTTAAAACAGTCATGTGATAGTGAGAGATTGGAGGGAAGTGGGAGAAGGCCCCTCGGAATAGGTGCCATTTGAGCTGAGACCTGAATGATAATAATCCAGCCATGTAAAGATGTAGGCAGAGGAAACAACATGTGCAAAGAACCTGAAGTAGGATGAATTGTAATTGTTCTAGAAATAGGGGGGGAAAAAAAACAGCAAACCCCAGTGTAGTGATCAAGAAGAGTGGTAGGAATGAGGTGGGAGGGGGAGGAGATGGAGCCAGAGGACTTGCTGATGGGTTGAATGTGATTGTGGGGGAAGAGTAGGGAGTGGCTGTTGGTGGTGAGGAAAAAGAAAATCAAGGGTGACTTCTAGGTTTTTGGCTTGAGGAAGAGGGTGGATGGTGGTGCCAGTTACAGAGATGGCAGAGAGGAAAGACAGAGAGGAAAATTTTTTTTTTTTTTTTTTTTTTTTTTTTTTTTGCTGAGGAAGATTTGCCCTGAGCTAACATCTGTGCCAGTCTTCCTCTGTTTTGTATGTGGGACGCCACCGCACCATGGCCGATGACTAGTGGTGTAGGTCCGTGCCCAGGAACCGAACGTGGGCCGCTGAAGCGGAGTACGCCGAACTTAACCACTAGGCCACGGGCCTGCTCCAAGGAAAGGTTTTTGAGGGGTTGGGAATCAAGAGTTATGTTATGTAAGTGAGAATATTCAGTAGGCAGTTACATATGTGGGTCCAGGACTCAAGGGAGACCTTAGGACTAGGAAACAGAAGCTCCTGGCTCCTTTATGTGATCGGCAGAGACCTTCACAAATGTGTTTGTGTTAGTAGGTGAGCCTGATAGTTGCAGCTAATTTGTGTGGAGGAAGGGAAATCGAGATAAAATCCTGTGTGTCCCATGCTCTGAAAAGGTCCCCAGCCAAAAAGAAAAACAAGTCCTCAGGGAGAAGAAGCAAGTCTCCTAGGAGTAAGAGAAGCCGAAGTCCTCACCACTCAACAGTCAAAGTGAAGCAGGTAAGTGGATTGAAATGTTTTGACACTAGGTGCAAATCTAGAGCCTCTTCCCATCCTAGCTGGAGAGTGTTGTGTATGTGTTCACCTGTACCTGCCGTGGGCTTTGCTAAAAACTGGTTTTGTTTTTGGGTTTTTTTTCTGCTTGCTTTTTTAAACTGAACTTTTTATTTTGAGATAGTTGTTGATTCACAAGCAGTTGTGAGAAATAATACAGAGGTATACTCTTCATCCTGTTTCTCCCAAAGGTAACGTCTTACAGAATTATAGTACAATATCGCACCAGAGTATTGACATCAATACAGTCGAGGTACAGAACATTTCCATCACCACAAGCATCTCTCATGTTGTCCTTTGTAGTCATACCCTCTTCCCTCCCACCCATACCCCTCAACTCCTGGCAACTTTTTATCTCTTCTCCATTTCCATAATTCTGTTGCTCAAGAATGTTATATAAATGGAATCATACAGTATGTAATCTTTAGGGACTGGCTTTTTTTACTCAGTAAAATTCTTTGGAAATTTGTTCAGGCTGTTGCATCTATCAGTAGTTCATTCTTTTTTATTGCCGAGTGGTATGGATTTAACCATTTGCCCATTAAAGAACACCTTGGTTGTTTCTAGTTTTTGGCTATTACACATATGGCTGCTGTATAAACATTGGTGTGCAGGTTTTTGTGTGAACTTAAGTTTTCATTTCTCTGGGATAAATGCCCAGGAGTGCAGTTGCTGGATCATATGGTAGTTGCATGTTTAATTTTTTTTAAGAACTTGCCAAATTGTTTTCCAGAGTGTCTGTGTTAGTTTGCTAGGGCTTCCATAACAAAATACCACAGATCGGAAGGCTTAAACAACAGAAACTTATTCTCTCACAGTTCTGGAGACTTGAAGTCGAAGATCAAGGTGTCAGCAGATTTGGTTTCTTCTGAGGCCTTTCTCCTTGGCTTGCAAATGGCTACCTTCTCGGCTGTGCCACCCATGGTGTTTCCCCTGTGTGCTCATATCCCTGGTGTCTCTTCCTTTTCTCATAAGGACACCAGTCGTATTGGATTAGGACCTCACTCTCATTTTAACTTAATCCTTTAAAGATCTTATCTCCAAAAAAATGGTTATATTCTGAGGTGTGGGGCTTGGGACGTCAACATATGAATTTTGGGGGTACACAATTTCAGTCTATAACAGTGGCTGTACCATTTTACATTCCCACTTAGAATGTTCGAATGATCCAATTTCTCTTCATCCTCAGCAGCATTTGGTATTGGCACTATTTTTTAATGTTAGCCATTCTTACAGGTGTGTTGTGATATCTCATTGTGATTTTAATTTGTATTTCCCTGATGGCTAATGTTGTTGAACATCTTTTCATGTGTTTATTTGCCCTCTGTATATGCTCTCCTTTCATGTCTTTTGCCTGTTTTCTAGTTGGATTAAGAGTTGTTTGTATATTCTAGATACAAGGCCTTTTTGAGTGTGTAGTTTGCAAATATTTTCTTCCAGTCCATACTTTGTCTCTCTATTCTCTTAACAGGGTTTTTCTCAGAGCAAAAGGTTTTTGTTTTGGTTTTTTGCTGAGGAAGATTAGCCCTGAGCTAACATCTGTGCCAGTCTTCCTCCACTTTATATGTGGGTCGCCACCACAGTGTGGCTGATGAGTGATGTAGGTCAGCGCCCAGGATCCAAGACTGTGAACCCCGGGCCTCTCAAGCAGAGCACGCCAAACTTAACCACTGCACCAAAGTTTTAAATTTTGATGGAGTCCAGCTTATCCATTTTTCATTTTATGGATTGTGGTTTTGATGTCATGTCTAAGAACTTTTTGCCTAACCCTAAATCCCGAAGATATAT